GGCGCGTGGCCTTCGTCCTGCGGACACTCACGCTCATTCTGAATTTCTAAGTATTAACAGCCCCGTTAGCGTTAATGGGCGTCCGGCGAAGTGTGTGTGTGAGTGTGGGAGCAGGGCCCAAGCTGGGCCAAGCAGAAACACAGGCTCTTCTGGGAGAGTCCGAGTTCCTCTGCCCCTCTTCCCCTTCAGAATAAGTTGCTTTCGGTTTTAGGAAGTTTTAAACTGATTATTTTAGGGCGTGTTTTAGGGTTGGGTTTTATTCTTTTGAAAAGGGTGGTTGGAAGGAAAAAAAAAAAAAGTAAGTTTTTTAATTTATTTTATTTCTGTGGCATTTCTTCACTCAATGCCTGATTCAGTGCGGTGCTGAGGAGCCTCATCTTCCCCTGATAGGAGCCGCTCTGCAGAATAGGGCACTGCCTTCTGATGGATATCAGCATTTTATTCCGGGTCACGGTGACGAAGGATTGCTGTCTTACGTTTGACTTCCCTTTCATTTTAGCTATTTATTTATGTCCACATCCGAATGCCTCGTGCCGCTTGTTTTCACGCAATCTCTTGTTTTAATTGCATGATGCAGAGCCCAAAGGGACTTGGGATATTTGGGTAGAGCCCGTGGATTTGGGCAGCTCTGCGCACGTGCAGCCACCGTAGCTTGGGCGAAGGTGGTGAAACTCTGGCATGCGTTGGAGCAAGTCTCAACTGAGAAGGGGCTCCACTGTCTTCGTCCCAGCGTTGCTTCCGTGTAAGCCTGGCGAACAGAGCTTCCCCCGAATCCCCTGATGCTGCATTTGTAAAGCGATGGACCGTAAGCCGCGCACGTCCCAGTCCTGCGAACGCTTTAGAGCCACGCTTAACTTACCCGCTACCAATACTTCCATTAACGTCGACAGAACAGCTCGCGTGCGTTCACGGCTAAAAGCTGGGCCTTGATTTCGCAGTCTGGTTCCTGGGGCTGAAGCCCTTCAGGGTTTCGTTTTGGGTTTTTGCCTTTTTTTTTTTTCTTCTCTTTTAACTCGCAGCGCACTTCCCAGGTAGTAATTCTGGTGATGCGCACAAGCATCGCCTCCTCTCTCTGGGAGGTGTTAGCCTGGCAGCGCGAGTCAGCCGTGCCCTGGTGTTAGCGCTGACGCTGCTGGAAAAACAGACCGTAACGGGTTCATCTGGGATAAGAGTTGCAGCAGAAGCGGCGATTTCCTTAAAAGATGGATTTTCCCCTTTTGGCTGGAATTAAGAACGTGACTCGGGCATCCTCTGTGGTCTGGTCTTGTGGTCCCCGAGAGGAAAAGAGACTCAGGAGAGCGTTTTATTTTTGAAAGCAGTTAAATGTGATTCACTGAAGAGGAATGCGGGAAGTCAGGAGTTCTGCGAAGACATCTCCTTCGGAACGATGTACTGAGCAGAATCCCGGTCCCGCTGGATTTTGCTGTTGATTCCTGGAGGCCAGGATTTCCCCCGTGGGAACGGGGATGTACTTCGCGTTTGGGGACGCAGTCTGAAAAGGTGTCAAGGATTAAAGTTTCTCATAAACCACGGAGCTTTCCGGTCCCGCCTACGGTCCGACCCCAGCGATACCCCAGGCAAGCTGTTTCTGTTCTGGCTCGCTCCGAGCCCCCCCAAGGCCGACGTCTTTTCAGTAGGGTGGCAACTGTTAACGGCAGTTAACCGTGGGGATTTTTCACCTCTTCCTCCCGCCTTCAGCTTAATTCCGGGGCTCCGGCAGAA